TATATATATATATATATGTGAAAGTGTATAGGGGATACAGTTGCTTATGTTGAGGGTTTAGGGTTTAGGGTTTAGGGTTTAGGGTTTACCTTCTCGGATTTCTATAGTCATAGAACGAGAAACCACGTCACGGCTGGCTAGGTCTTTTGCCGTGGGGGCGTACCTGCACCACAAACCCTAAACCCTAAACCCTAAACCCTAAACCCTCAAACCTTAAACCCTAAACCCTAAACCCTAAACATCCTCACCGAGCCATGAAGGGCTCCCCCTCGCTGTTGCGTAGAATACCGCCTTCTCCTCTGCATCCCTCCGTCATCAGACACCCTGCAAAACCCCCCAAACCCTAAACCCTAAACCCTAAACCCTAAACCCTAAACCCTAAACCCTAGCCCCAAACCCGTCCCCACTGGGTCATATCTTTACAATCTCCATCTCCTTCTAACCCCCGTCTTGCACCCGTCCCCTCTCTGGTATCCTCCCCTCTACCTCGGGTTTAGGGTTTAGGGTTTAGGGTTTAGGGTTTAGGGTTTAGGGTTTAGGGTTTACAATACCCGCAGGAAATATCCCCGTTGGGTGAAACTGAACAAACTCTAAATCCTGGAGACAAACCCCCGCCCGCGCCGCCATTGCCCCGCCATCGCCCGTGCATGTGTGAGCCGAGGTGCAGCTCTGGTATGCTCTCCCGTACCTGCATAAACCCTAAACCCTCGTAAACCCTAAACCCTAAACCCTAAACCCTAGGAAACACTAAACCCTCGGGAACACTAAACCCTGAAAACGCCGAAACAGTAAACCCTCGGATGCACGAAACCATTGAGATTAGTGAGGGGGGAGGGGTTAGCTTGTATTAGTTTGTATACAACAAACCCTAAACCCTAAACCCTAAACCCTAAACCCTAGGGGGTTTATTGGGTGTAAGCGGAAACTATATACTTTATGTTTTATACGCAAAAAGTTCTGGATTCTTTAATATACTTAATACAACATATACAAACCCTAAACCCTAAACCCTAAACCCTAAACCCTAAACCTTAACAGCAAGATGTACATAACGACGACCAAACCCTAAACCCTAAATTCT